ACCAAAAAAAAAAGGCATAAGTAGCTGGAAATCCAGTTCACAAGTCTGAGCTCAACCAATGCCAAAATATACAGTAATATATAAGCATATTCACATTTCCCAAACATACAATAGAACATCCTCATCTTTTAACCCTTCTCACAGTACCAATACGAAAGATGGGTTTAATTAACCACAGCAATTTGTGTGGGGGACTGAGTGACCTGACTTTTATATTAAATTTCTGACTCTTTTTGGCTCTGTTCTCATTTTGTTTTTTATTCCCAAAGGGTATTGACAAGAGGCAGCTGCACCCTGCACGCAAGCACACAAAAAGTTAAAAGAAAAATTTGTTGAAACTTTGGCTAGAGTGCTAGGTCCATCATTACTCTCTGCATGCTGCTGTTCTGGGACTGGCCAAGAACCTTTCCTCACTTTTGCTTTGCTTCTTTAGCAAGCCTTCACTTTTTAAGAACCCTACGTAGAACAAATGGTAACTTTTTATATAAAAATTTTTATTAGGTTTGTATTTAAGCCCTCACCATTCTCTTTCCCGAAAATCCCCGGTATATTACCTGTTCAAAAAATTAAAAAAGCCTTCACTTTCTTTCTTCCTTTCTTTTCCATTAATTAATTACCTTATTTAAAAAAAAAAATTAATTACCTTAAATTGCCACTAACTTTTGGCTTTCATTTTTCTTTTTTCTCTCTCTTTTGCCCCAAAAGTTCAATCCCTGAAGCAAAAGGGGTGAAATTGTCTGAGGTGAGCATCAGGGGATTAGCAAAAAAAAAAAAAAAATGCATCTGGGGGGAGATTTGTCTTCTGTGCATCATACACAATTGGAAATAGGAAAGGGATCACCTAAGATGTTAATTATTGCACTGTAGTGGGTCCATTTTTTTTGGGATCCCATCCCCCATGCTCCAGTTCTGGACCCACCATTGATCCTCTTTAGATTACTAGATAGTAACCGTGCAAGAACGGTGCCTTGCACGCAAATGTTATAATAAAATAAATTAAATATTTTATTTGTTAAAATATTATTTTTTATTTTTTTTATATGAATATAAGATATTGTTTATTCTAAGATATTGATTATATAAATTAGTAATGAAAATACAAAACAAATGCTAAACGTATCATTGTAATTTTTCAACATACTGAGGATGACAATTTCTACTTATCCACGTGAGGCCTCACAAAAATCCTTACCATCGATGCGAGGTGGGGAGAAATACTCCTCCTCACAAGTGAAGAATGGGGAGCATTTGGTCTTTATGAATTTTTATAGGAAATTATTTTGACATCACAGATCTTGTAAGGATCTTGTTCTTCATAAAAAATTTTAAAAAAAATAACAATTTTAATATAATTTAAATATTTAAATCATAATTATAAGCATACCCATTATTTATTTTTATTTTTAATTCAATACTAAATTCTAATTATTTTAAATCAAATCAAATCCAACATTTTTTTCTTTTTGCTTTAATCCAACTATTTAAAATATTTTTTAAAATAATTAAGTTAATTTTATAGTATAATTGGCGGGGAGAGAAATCCTCACAAAGACCTATTCCCCACTAATAATGGGGACTAGGGATAAGGTTTACCTTCATAAAAAATTCGTAAAAGAATCTCTTTCTCACTATTCGCAAGGATGGAAAGAAGTTGGCACTCCTCAACCCCATAGGCTTCATTGTTATCCCTACTAACATATATCATTGTTCTTCAGTAAACAATGACAAAAGAATTATTCATTTGCACATATACTTTTCTCTCAACTCAATTTAGTGCATCATTTATAGAAATCTCCTCTTAGTGATATAGCTTAGCATTATCTTAACAAATTAAGCATTCTCTTAAGAAATTCAATTGATTGACCAATGATACAAGTCATTGGCAAAAAAAAAGAGAGATGGAAATCAGCAATGGAAAAGAGTGAAATTAGCAATTAATCAAACAAATAGTAATTATAATATGTAAAAAAAGGGGGGGGGGAACAAACAAACAAAATTTACTGTGTTATTGAATTGAAAAATGCTTCTTTTTTTTCT